AATATTATTAGATCCGTTTCATCGAGCCGATTAGTTTGACTATAATTTTGCTGAAATCGGAGTTCCGGATGACTCGTAATCAAAGTTTGCATGTTCGTGCTCAAAATATTGCATCGAGATTCGTGCTGGATTATGATAATTTGTTGGTGACGTATCACCACCCACATCTTTCATATATAAAAAAATGCCACTTTCTAACTTTAACAAAGGTGAAATACTCCTTTTCATGCACAGGAAAAGTGGTATATTTTTGTAATAATTGAATTCTAGGTGTTAGATATGCAAATACAAATAAATTGAGTGGCATGCATGTAAATCTTCCAAAAATGGAGAGGCAAAACAAAATGCACTCTCTACTTAAAAAGAATAAGAGATGATGCGGCAAATCTCAAAATCTTACACCCGACATGTGAAATTACAAAAAAAACCTTGTTTGCACAATTCAGTTAGAATTTTCATTCTATTTGAGCATGAAAATCATCTTTTTGGATCTTCTATAATGATTCCATCAACATACTGATTAATTCTTATATAAAGCTGTAAATATGAAAGTTTAGATGTGAGATATGCAAATACTTAAAAATTATGTGATAGGAATGTAAATTTTCTTTAATCTTGAGGGGTCAGATGTTACTAATTATTTGTTAAAATGATGTGTTATTCGAGTATTATATGGTGTTACTCGATTATTTTACGATGTTATTAGAATATTTCATCGCATTATTTGATTTGGGGCTGAAGTGTTATATGGTGTCATTATTCGATTATTTTACGGTAATGTCGTTATTGGTTGTTTTATTTTACTTTGGTATCATTATTTTGTTCGATAAACTTGAACATTGGTTTGTGCTAGAAAATTCACGACAATAGTGTAATGAGTTATCATCTTAACATTGCACGAGAATTCAACACACAGTCAAGTAAAATAAAACAACCAATAATGACACCAAAGTTTTTACGTCAAAAAAACCTATGAAAACAAAAAATCATACGTAAAAATTTCATCATAGATTGATTATTACGGAGACGCATTGTCCCACAAATGAAAAATAGTTATTAGATTTTCCAAGTTACAATGTGGTGGTCAGCAGAGATTAGCGGTGATGTACGGTGGTCAGCAGTCGACCTGATTGACGGCTACAACAGTACTTGCCGGCTATAGGTGGTCATTGATTACATGTAGAAATGCTTTTCTATTATATTATGTTATATTATTATTAATTTGTATGTGTGTATGAGTGTGTGG